ACTACCTGTATGAGTTACAGAGAGTGGGACCTCAGTCTGCCTGGGAAAGCATCATGACCTCTTTACCACTGTAGCACAGAGATCTGCAATAAGCACTATGAGAGGCAGTAAAATGGAACTTTATTTTCAGATTTTGGAGGCTGAAATGTGGGTTTAAAACATTTAAACTTTAGTTTAAATAACTGTTTAAAACATTATCACCTAACACAGTGAAGTCACTCTCTGCCATGGGCCAATATGCCACCTATACAGAGCCCCAGTCCAAGCCAGTGGTATGTTGTCTGTCTACATTCTGCAGAAGAATCAGTTTTCCCCTGGTTACAATGAACTACAGATGTATGCAAAATCTATTAAAGTTTTGGGTTTTTTTACATTATTGCATTCAAACATCTTTTCCTTAAACTTATCTCAAATAGTTTTCTTCATACACACTCCTTCCTTCAAAAAAGGCAAAAAACATTTTGCATTTTCTCCACTTTTTTTATATTAGGAAAGAGAAGATTTTACTAGCAGAAATTTTTCATATTATTTACTTTTTAGTCAGCATCTTGATAATAGTGCTTAAGGAAATGCTTAGCTGTCAAATTACATGCAATTTAGGTATTTATTTACAAAAGCTGTATCACAAAACCTGCACTTCCCCCTTTCTAGCAGAATTCTGCCAGAACCAGCCCCTCTGAACCCCCCCAAAACTCCAACAACTTCAGTGGTTGCAGGTGTACCACACTTTGCATCTGTTGTTTAGGAGGTGGGGGGGAAGCATGACAATGTCTTGTCATTAAAGCTACACAGAGAAGACCTGCTTACCTCAATGTCAGTCCCCACTGATGAAACACGTGGTTTTCTCTCATGGTAAAAGAGAACCTATCTTTTAAAATGGATCTGACATGTATTTTTACATTGCTTTTTCCAAAAAGCAATGCAAAGGTAAATATTTTGGTTAAAGTATATGTTTTAAATAGGTTCCTTACCTTTGTTACCACTAGCACGTGGAACTGCTAAAGGAAGCAGTTTTTACAAGTTCACTTCCATCACACATCCTGAAGTATCTAAGTGCTGATGTACTTTGGTCATGTTGAACACTGAAGCCTCCCTGAGTTCCCAGTCTCCACATAGCCCAGGGCAGCAAACTCCAAGTCACTAAAATGGCCTTCTGATACTACTTTTTACAAAGCATTGCAACAGATCTAACTAATTTTCATTGCAAATTTAAAAATTAATCTGTTTTAATCAAGAGAGTTGAATCTATTTTTAAAAATTTTGTTGTTGCTTATCGTGATCTATTTTGCCCTGTTTGTTCTTAATCAAATGTCCCTTCCAAAGATTAACAAATGCTAAGCCTGCAGTGAGATTGGTGCTACGGATTTTAGTGTACACATTGGAAACACTGCAAACCAGGTTTGTAAGTTCATAAAGAAAAAATGGCCTTCTTTGACAGAGACTATGTCAAGTGAGCTAAACACCAAAATACTGTTCAGTCTGAAAGAAAAACATATTTCTTGCTGCAGTTGGGAGATCCATGGTAAGGCTGCGTTATTCTAAAAGCGATAAAAGGGTTTCAAAGACAAAGACGTTCCTTCCTCTTTTCTGTCAGTTTAAGTCTTGAATGGTTCCAGTGAAGTGACTGAGGTTACTTAGTCCTTATAACTCTGTAACCGAAGGTCACTTACCAATACATCTCCTGGATCGTTTAATTGACAGACACGTCTTCTACTATTTGGTTCAAAGTTTCTGTACCTCTGCTGTAGCCAAAAATATCTTAATTGGGAACAAACCACCTCCAAATTGGTTAAAGTCCTTCTGTCCCAGAAAGCAACAAAGAGCTATATCAATGATTCACCATATCCTTCCAATGAGTATTGATAATTATCTCCTTCCCAGCTCCCCAGATAAATACAATGGATGGGATCTCCTGTGTTGATGAGTAAAACCTTCTTATTTGGGACAACCTTGCTATCTAAACCCTTTCATTAATTCATCAAAATCCATAGCTAATGTGCTTGCCTGTTTCCACCACTCATTGAGAAAACTTTTCCAGAAGCCTACACCTGTCTTGGCTAAAGCCCTCTCCTAATTTTGAGCTTACATATTAGGGTCACAAATTGAAAGTACGAATTAGGAAAAATCAATAAAATCTCAAAAATAAAGCTGTACCCTTCTGTCTCAGGACATTATTAATGGACAACTAAGTAAAATTAAGTTGTGAGGACTGACTGCAGAAATGCCCCTTGCTCCAGCATATATTTCCTACTTTGATGTTTTCCAAGCCACACTGACGTCATCTACCTGGAGTCCTGCCTAGACTGAGGCATGCAGTTTCTACTGTCACCAGTGAATTCCCATCGCGTATCAGGGCCTCTGTACAGCCCTGTAGTTCTGACACTGCCACTATGGCACAGTCAGGGTACCTCTGGAAGCATGGGCATACTTCTTGCCTGGCATGTGCCAGAACTCTCTTCTGACTCTAGAGCTGGGATGTTTGGGGATGGGATTCAGAGGGGACAAATATCCAAATATCTGCACTGTAGATGACATGTTAATACCACTGCAGATTTAATCTTAGAAGAGCAGGAAGAAATCCAGTATTGAACTAATTGAACAAATGTATTGGGGTGCTCCAAAATGACAGATAGCTGTTACTTGGAGAAAGTTACAGTGCTATCTCTCACCTGGCCAGTAACACTTTTTTCTTACAAAATTCCTTAGACAGATCCAGGCCTCACTACAGAAGTTCAAAGACATTGGAATGAACACCAGCATTTAAAAATGGGAAGGAAAAAAAGCACTGGTGTGGCCCTGCACTGTATTGTTTTCTGTACACAGAAAAGTAGTATGGCTCTCTGAGGTGCTGATAGGGAACATATAAGCCTTGATCCATTTCAATCAATTAGATAAATGTGTCTATTTCTTGCTATACCAACCAGAATATGCAAACCTTTCTGACATAGATCAGGGACATCAGTGACAAGGAACAAGCCATACCATTCAGAAATCAGATATTTAATGGCCACTAATCCTATCATAATAATTACAAAATAATGTAATGATGAGCCAGAGTAAACAAAATATATGAACAAAAATGTCAAGGAAAAAAAGCAATTAGAGTCTTGGGTTTGTTCCAACTCCCTTTTGCTGTGGGAGTTCTGATAGACTATTACCCCTATGTAATTAGAGGTTTAGGCTTAATCCAGTTCCCGTTTCCTTTGGGGGGATTGGGATAGGCCCCTATGCCCTAATTTTCTGCTGTCCTGCCCCTTGTATACCCAGCTCTGTATAAGCACCTGTTTCACCATCCTGCTACTCTGTATCATACTAGAGAATCACATTTCCAGACTCGGGTAAGAAAATAGTGCAAAATAATCATCAGTACCTCTTTTGCACTCACTTTGCATGGGCCTAAATTACTAAATGAAGCAATACAAAAATCAAGTCTTTATTTTTATTCAAGGTGCTGGAGAAAGAATTACTTTTATTTCTGTTGCCATTATAAAAAAAATTTCTGGTTCTTTGGAAAACTATGTGAAATGCTCCCACTTCAGAAATGTTACTTCACTTAACAAATTAAGTAGACAGAACAACTGATGAATATCATCTCTCACGTTGGCTCACCAGACAGCTCAAAGTGCCTGTAAAACATTTAGTAGGGATGCATTTTCCAAACTTGGCATCAGAAATCTAAAGGTTTGTATTTCTAAACATAAGGCAAAAGCAAACAAAAAAACCTCAAACAAACAAAAAAACCCAGAAACAAACCAAACAAAAAACCTCTTAAAACCAGTCTTGGCCATATTCTGCATTCCCCTAAGAAACAAAGGCCAGTTTTCTCACAGTGTTGTAATTTTTGGGGTTTTTTTTGTGTGTGTGTGTGTGTGAATGAGAGAAAATACAATCAGTTTTCTGCAAGAATATGGACATTATTATCTTGATAAATTAAAATATATTTAACGTTGGCCATCATTACTAACCCTGATGTTGTCACAAGCACTCAGTGGTCAGCATTCTGTATACTAAGAATATGCTAAATGTCTGCAAATTAGTAAAAGTAAACTTCCCTTGTATACACTCTTCTGCACAGACTTCTTCACCTTTCCAGATCAGACCAAAGCAGATTGACCATATCTACATGAATGCATGCATCCATACATTACAGACAAGCACAAGTCCTGACTAGGACACGCAGAACTCAAATGAACTCAAATATGAGCATTGACAAACACAGCTAAGTGAGTTATGACTTACATCACCTTGGAGGAACTGGTAAAATGGACTGGATGCATGTCCAGACAGACAGAAAAACAAATACAGAACACTTCACCAACATGCAGACACATACGGAGAGGACAGTCAGAGAGCATATCCATTATGTAGGCATTTGCATCCTGGCTACATATCCCCACATTACTGCTGTCTGACCAAATCAGAAATTTACTTCAGCTTGAACCATCTTTCTTTTCTTTCTTTTTTTTCATAGAGGGACCACATATAATGTTCCAAAGCTACTGATTCCATTAAATGCATGCACACTTTAGTGTGTACATGCCAGCACTTACATACATTCCAGAGAGAAAACTCTATTTTCCAGAAAAAAAAATCAGCTATTTTCCCCTGTCAGGCTCTTTCTCTTTATAAGCTGCTGCTGTTCAGCAGTAAGTGGGAAGGGAGAAGCAAAAATATCAGCTATTAAATAATAACTACTTGGATTACATTTATAAAGATCATTTATTCCCACTTTACTTCTTAAAGTTTTATTTCGAAGTACAGCTTTCCATCTACAGCCTTGTCATGAAAGATCTGACTTGGAAATCTAAGTATGGAAGAGCAGAAATAATGAACACTTTGGTTAGTACACATAAATTTGAGTTAAAGGAACTCTGCTGATGCCTTCCCTCTTCTTACTGACATGGTGCCATACATGTATATATCCCAATATACGTAAAATATTTTAAAAACATTGGTTCCTGAAAAGCTAATATTCTAAATTAGACTAATCCCAGACATACCTTGGGGGGCATGAAGAAAAGGGAGCAATAGCGTAGAGATGCTTGAGCAGTGCAAGGGTTTTCTACAAGAAGACAGCAAGTAGTTGCTGTTTGGTTCCACACAGTCCTTGCCATTTTATTTTATCATCCTTTTCAATCTGTTATTGTGGACATTTCACTGGTAGATCTCCTTTGAAAGGACTTGCAGAAGAAATTTGTCCAGAGGAATCTGCCGAAAAAGACAGTACCTGAATAGCAGCATTAACTGAGAGCTGGTGTAATAATTTTGAGAATAGAGGCATCCTGAGAGTCAGTGCAGAGATGAGAATGAAAGGAGAGGACAAATCCTACCACCTCACTGTGGTAGGATTGTACAGTCCCACAACAACTAGCTGCCTCTACTCCAAAAGCAAACTGAAGGATAAATCCAGTCAGAGAAAGAGCTTGACAGGTGTAGTTGTGGCACTCAGTATTGACAATAAGTATTAACTCAGGGCTCACCACATCATAGAACTCTTTGGTGGTTTCTCATTTGTTAAACAGGGAAAAAAGTTTTAGGTTTTTGTAGGAACTTTTTTATTACTTTTTTTCCCCATTTAAATGGGATTATAACTCAATTAATCTTGGTAAAATGTTTGGGGATCTCCAAGCTAGCAGCACTACATATGTAACAAGAAACAGGTAGCAGGTGCTGGAGTATTTAAAAAGATAAATGTCCACACACAATTCCCTGTCTAGCTCACATTTTATACTAGCAAGTCTGTGTATAGCCTGGTACTCAGAGCTGTCAGTCAGTATCAGTAGCCAATAAAGATATATACTGCCCTATCTTAGTCAATATAGATGTATGTTGTCCTTTCAGATGTATATGCTAAGTTTCTTCAAACTCCCTCTATCATCAATTATTAAAACCTGGTGCTTAAAGGAAAATACTGGTTAAAACAGAGAAGTTTTAGGGATGTCAATGATAAATCAACATTTTAATTGTATGTATGGGTATTAAAATAGATGTACATGTGTAAATAAAAAGAAAACCTTAGTGGATCATACTGACTATAATGAATAAGGCTGTTGATAGTTTTTAAAATTTTAATAGAGCCTTTAAATATTAGACTTTTCCAGCAGGATGCACTTGTGAGATGTACTGTCTGGTATGCCCTTGGCCAGAATGATCCTTACACACATGCAGTTCACAAACGTTATGCAGTGTGCTATAAGCTAATTATTTTCTTGGCTGCAGCCCACCCTCTTAGCCTGGGCATTTCATTGTAGAAGGAATTCCTGTACATATGTCATTTGCAAAGCACCACAAGATCCTTTGGGTTGAATGTGCAGTGATAGCTGTACACAAAAGGAGAAATTAATAATAGAAGGGTTATATTTCTGTAGCATTTGATTGCCTAAAAAGTACTAATCTCAGAGATAGACTTTATTCATCTTGAGCTGTAAAACAATTGCATGTACGTATGTGTGGCAGTACATGTTACAACACTTCCATAGTTTAGGTTTTGCTGTTGGAACTCCCTCACAAAATTTCCAGGTAAAACTATGAAGATGATACATGGTGGAATGTATTGTAAAGCATAATTGTTATAGTGTTTAGTTTGGGCAGTCTTTGAAGCACCCTGAAGAAAACAGAGAGAGAGCTGTGCAGGATGTTGTTCTCGGGAAAGGTTCAACACAATCCTGAAGAATCACTGAAGATACAAAGAGGTTTTCAGTCCTGGTCATGGCATTTAAAAAACAGATGAGCTAAGCAAGTCAAGGAATTACATTTCTGTTAAAACTGAAGTCTTTCTAAGGTCCCTAAATTAGTTATATATTTTTGATGCTTCTTGAAAATATGTACATGCTCCTAATTTCAATCCTATTAACGTAGCAGTAAGGAAATTTGCATCAATATCTTCCTGTCTAGGTAATTTAATTCCCCTTTTAAAAATAAATTCAAATTAGCAACAATAAAAGAAAACACAAAAACTCTGTTGAACTCAAGTAGTTACCATAAACAACTCCCCTAAACCAAGCAGGCATTGTGCATAGTTATTGTTTCTTGAGGAAAGAAATCCTGAGAAAGGGGGCCAACCCCTGTTCTCACAAAAACCTATACTGTAATTCCCATTGGCTGAAAGGAGAGTGGGGCAGAAGAAGGGGGACACTTGATAACAGGGTAAGGTGTACTAACACAAGCCATGTGGGGAGAAGGGCCCTGACAAAAGGTGGAATATTTTAAGCCAGCAGCAGCAACATTACCAGAGTTGCTGGGAATGCTGTATTCAGTCTCATCACCGAATGCTTTAAAAAAGAAGAAGCTGAATTGTGAATCGTGACAAGCTTAAAGACACATGACTGCCTCAAAGCACAAATTTCTTAACAATTTCAGTAATCATTTTGTAATAAGTTTTGTCACTCTTTTCAGTCTCTCTGACTTTCAGGTCATCATCAGCATTCTGCATTGCAGTCCAGGTCACCAATCTACAATGAACAAAACTCATTTTCTAGTACTTGTTAGTTCTCATCTTTTTAATTACTGTGTACTAGAAAAGCCCTGATTTTGTTTTGGATAACAAATCATTCAGAGGAAAGCTGAAATCCAAAAATATAAATAAAAACATTGTATATTTCAGGAAGAAGTTAAATGAAAATATCTCTAAATTAAATATCTCTACTTCAGTTGTTTTATATCTAAAGAAAATCTTAAATTATCAAATTGTAATGGAGGGTACTGTTTTGACTATGCTAAGGTTGTCATTGTATACTTGAGAACCAGAAGAAATTTTAGTAAAGTCCGAAACCATTTTAATAATACAGTGCTTTAGGAACTCAGTCTTAGTTAGAAAATTGTAAAAAAAACCAACAATTTGTGTCATTAAATTATATTACCCCCCCCAGCCAGAAAAGGAATACACGAAGAGCTCTGTGCCTATACATGATGGGATCTGTTGTCCAGCCACTACTGAAACGAGGCTGAAATTGCACAAATAACCTTGTAAGTATGACATTTGAATGCCAGCTAAGCTGCCAATATGAAATCAGTCCATGCACATATGGACCACAAGTTGCAAGCACTGTTCACGTATCCTGCACAAAATGAATCTGTCAGTCTCAATTCATGTCCCATGTCTACATCATAAAAATATACCCTTAAAAATGACCTTTCTTCTTGGGAGTTTCAGCAAAGACATCAAAGGAAGGAGGAGACACAGGAAACAAACCTCCTTTGAACCTCCAAGGCATGTCACAGAGGAGTAGCATGGGAGAACTGATTCTCAGGGCCAATGAGAAGGGAATGATGCAGGAATGGGCCCTCGTAAATCTTGTAACTGCAGCAGATCATAAATCACAAGCTATAAGCTATTCTGGATCTACCTGTGGTCTGCAGAGGAGTTTAAACTAATGACTGCCAATAGCTGCATTTTCAAATGTGTATCCCTAATACTCATGCATAACAGCCTTCGGAAGTGAATTTTGGTTCAACGTTCAAATTGAAATCCATTTTTTTTAACATATCCACGCATTAAAATTTTGAATTTTGTTGAAAAAAAAGCCACCCAGCTGCAAATTTCAGACCAGGACCAAGCCACTCATATAGACTTGGGGTTTTATTCAAATTGTGCCACAACTCTGGGGTTACCTTTCTGCTGTTTGGGGAACTGGAGGATGTAGACAGACCTCTTTCAATAAGAAATATCAGAAGTTCAGAAATATCAATCAGAAGTTGGCTAAATATTTGTAAGTGGAGTTGTGTGTTTTGGGTTGTTAGCTGGCAAGATATTTCTCTGCAATGCATTTAAGAGATTTATCTTCTTTTTTTTCAAAATGTCAATGAGCAGATATATTTTTCACAAATTATTGAATGAGTAATTGCCAACATACTTCTGCCCATGAGATTGCTCACAAGCTACTCACTAAAATGACTGTTTTGTGTACTTTAGGAACTCACCACTCATAAATTAGTATTTATAGGGGCTTGTTGGTCATCCCAATCACCGGACATCTTTTTTTTACCCTTGGTTGGTAAACTTATAACCCATCAAAGGCTTTCCTAAAAGCTACATGCAGTTCCAGTTCAGGCATTCATATGGATACAGAAATGCATCATTGCATGTGACAGTTTTTCTACAGAATGTCATCTAATGAATGTTTGTGGAAAGTGAAGGAATTGCCTCAATTACCATCAAAACAAATAGTTATATTCAAACAAAAGTTCACTTTTTTTCCAACTGTCATGAGTCTTATGTACTAACCTCCATTGACAGAATACATTTCCAGATTTTACAGATGAATAGAAGATTTGTTAAAACTACTCTAAAATTCTTAGTTTAGAACATAATGATTCCAGTGCTGTATATCCACAGAAGCCCTAAATATATAGCATAATAAGTAACCATGAATATTACTTAATATAATTTAAAGATGGAATTTGGGTCCATCTGCCCTGTGCATGCCCCTCTTCAAGGGTGTGTTTGTTAATCTCAAAACATTGCAAACTCAATGCCATACCTTCTAACTTCCCCACAGATTTCCCATTGATTTAATGATATAGTGACATCCACACTAGTGGAGGCTCCTCCATAAAAACATAGCACAGCTTTCTGAATGGCTTCCAAACAACAAAATCCAGTTCACTTTGCTAACTCATGAAATAAGCAGACTAGCTCCCATGAGTTAAGCAAACAGCATTGGTCCCACAGAATATTTCACTCAACTATCAGACTAACAGAAATCCTCAGAATAGCAAAAACACTCAAGATATTTTGTTCACTTATCCAAGACAGCTCTAGGACTAGATACACTCATTTGAGAATGTAGACACAACCTTAACAGATTACAATGAATCTTCATGGCCCTGTATCATCACTGATTTGCCCAGGATATATCAGCATTGAATGAAAATATTGTCTTTTACTTCAGATTTTGACGTGTAGCTTTGTAAAATATTATTAACAAGAAATTTAAAGTCTTCTCAGTTAACAAAATAATCACCAGAATGAAACCTCTTCTCCTTGGCTAACAGTGTGCCTCCTAGACCACGGCCAACAAATGGCTCTGACTCAGTGAGCAGAAGCCTGGTTAACATGCCCAGCCAAATTCAACCAGAGCTTGCACCAGAGGATGTTCCAGAATGAAGACGTACCTTGAAAGATTATACTAGCACAAAATAATTCTAGTGGTCTTCTGAAGTGCCTAAAAGGGATCAAAATAGTCTGAATGCTCAAATAAAAAACTTTT